GGCGGTGGGCGGAGGCGGCTCGGCCGGGCGGTGGGACCGGCCGGGCTCCCCCCCCGGCGGCGCCGGCCCGGCCGAGCTCGACCCCCTGAGCTTACTCCGGCCTTGGCGGAGCTTGCGGCACGCCGAGTTCGGTGTGAGTTCTGGCCCAGGCCACTCCGTGCTGGCCAGGATCAGCCATCTTTTGTGGGGGTCTTCTATTGTAGCGTTGGAATTTACGTTTTATAGCCACACACATGTGTGAGAGCCATTTATACATCTATACACCTCTACGCATATATGAAAATAGTAATTGCAGTGCTAGTTGCTGTCTCTCACAAAGATGGCTGTGTGTACGTGTGCGAATGCACACGCAGTTGCACACGCACACACACTCTTCTGTTTTCCTACATATGGTGTGTAAGTCTTTTGCAATTTTACTTTGAGGTAGGGTTGGTTCATCCCTTAAAACAGGGAAGCATCTTGCCCAAGATATCCATTGACGTAGCACTGCCATCCTGCTTATGAGTGTTAAATGCAGCCTGAGAAAGTGGATTGCACTGAGAGCTAGGGCAAAAGGTTTTACTAGCATTAATGGAAAACAAAATATGTTAACTCACCAATTTAATACGTGTATTAATGCTCTATTTAGAGGAAAGAAAGAATTCTCTTTAAGCCTTTCTGAGCTGCGGAATTTTCAGTTATTGATAATCAGAAATTTAGAAACTTAACCTTTGGTGTAGAGACATGTTCAGCTGATACTTGCTTTTTTGTGTACGGGCACGCAGGAGGAGGGAACTCTTTTCTTGTTCTGCATAACTGCATTTACTCATTTAATGCATTGGGCTGTACCATTGATCATAGCCTACTATGGAGCCCACCAGTTTGTATGGGGAATAAGTACTGTATCAGAGTGATCATTATAATAAAATTAGTGCTGCCTCACTGGAGGACCTATAAAAGATTGCTGCAGAATAGAGTGGCCATGGTTTTCCTCCTCCATCAAACTCTATAGGAACTGAGTGCATCTTCTCTCCGTTTCCTCAGCCACATTGGTACCTTTCTTTTTAATTGACCTCCGCTTGATTTAGGTACCAAAGAACTTAATTTTTCTCTTGGTGGCTAGTTAAAAAAACATTTCATCACCTGTTCCATAGTGGAAAAATGTTAGGGCAGAGAGTGGTTAATAAAAATAATGTTCGTATTCAAGTATTATTAATGTCAGCGAGCATCTCAATTTCAACACTGTTTTTTTTGAGCTCTTATATAGGCAGGTTTTTAAGTCCTTTTCTTGTTTCTCCTTCTCCAGTTTGATGTTCGTTATAATTTTCTTTATGCAGAATCAAATGTTTTACAGAGTCTTTCTTTATTTTTGTGCAGGATGGGTAATTAAGATGGGATTCTGCTGTATGTTTCTAATATCTCTCTAGCAATGCGTGATCCAGAACTCTTTTTGGAGTGTTGCATAACTAGACACTTTACAAAATGAATTGAAAAATACTCTTAATTTCTTCAGTATGCATATCAAGGTAGATAGTATTTCTTTGATTTAATAATCAAAAGGGTGGAGGTTTTTTCCTTTTTTAATGTCTGTTAGTGTTGTAAAGATAGTACTACTCAAAATTAACTTAAAGCTCTTCTTATCCACACATCGTATAAGCACAATTTGTTTTAAGTAGTTGTACGTGCATATCTAGTCCAGTGCAGAGTCTTTGCCAGTGAAAGACAGAGGAACTTCATTTCTGTACTAAGGCTAACACTTATTAATGCGTTTTTGGTTTTTTTCCTCATGTTTGATACAAAATCACTAAAAGACAAACATAGGATTTGATGGTGCTGGAGAAATGCATCAGAGTAGAGGAGCCCTTCAATTGCTTTACATTCTTAGATATGATAAGACCATTGATATCAATCTCTATTTTCTACCAATCAGTGAATATCAAGTAGCGTGACCATTTAAAGCTGTTGCCAATTATGTTTCTAAACTGCAAGTACAAATGTGGCACTAGAACTGATGTCTACTTAGCCATGTTTTCACACTGGCATTCCTTAAATATTTTTCTATATGCAAGATACTAGCTTCTTGTTTTCTTGCAGATAAATGCTTTACTCCTGACTCTCAAGTTTGTAACTTATTCATCAGATTTTATCAACTATACATTCCAGAAAGGTACTGTCATCCTTTTGTCTGTGAATGTTTGGGGCAGCAGTGGTAGAGGTGTGCACTACCCTTTGGAACTGCTCTTGTCATGAATGTCTCTCAGGTAATCATTTTGTAACCTGTTGAAAAACAAAAAAAAATTTTCTCATTATGGAAACGGATTAAAAAAAAATTCAGTCAGAATTCAACCATCCTCTCAAACTTATGCTTCCAAGTGTTGTGTAGATTAAACAAGTCTGAGTGGAAAAGCCTGCTCTAATATATTTCCTCGCCTGCATTGTTTTAAACATAATTAAAATGGCATATGAAGTGCCTTTGTAGCTATTCTCTCATACTCCTGCAGTTTTGTCTGCTGTTGCTGATTTTTTTTTTCCTGAACAATGGGATGTGACAGCATATATTTATTTAATCATTATAAATTTAGTTGGTGTTCTCCAGTGAGTCTGAGATTTCAGAGAAGCTTTTAAGTAGCTTGCTAAAATATGTAAAAGAATCCTGTCCCAAAAGAGTCATGAGCTTTCAAATCTTTATGAAAATCCCAGTAAAATTAGTGAGAATTGTCAGGACTAACATACCTGTTTCTGTGCTTTCAAAGTGAACTGGAAAACCTACTACTGTTTTGAATGATTATAAGTTCTAAATGATTCATTGAAATGAAAATCTAGGAAAATCCATTTCTCCGAATTGTGTACTGAACTGCGTGTTGTACAACTATTCAAAGTAATAGTTTTGATTTTTTTTTGTTTGTTTGTTTTGAAATCTGAGTTGTCTCTCTCTTTGTCTTATACTTTTTTTTTTGGTGTACATTAACCTTTTATGTCAGAATACTGTAGGACAGGGCACCTCCATCTTCACAGGGCTGGCATCTTTGCTGTTGCTTATGATTAGAAATTGTTTATGGTCCAGGATGCATTGAATTCACTGTTACCCTTTCTTCTAGGCTCATCAAAACATGTAAAATAAAGGTGGTTAAATAGCTTTCTTTAATTCTGTGGATTACTGAAGAGAAAGAATAATGAGTAAAGGTGTGGTTTCTGTCGAATCAGTAGCCCCTGAGGCAGAGCTAGAAGAATACACCTAGTTCAGAAGTTCTGGTGTGGCAGAGGCTGTGAGCCTGCAGCTGCACCAAGCTTTCCCCAGCAAGGAGAATCAGTGAACTTCAAATGGTATGAAATGCTGTCTTCACCCTAACTGGCTTCATGCTTCTAAAACACCAGGTGTAAAAATGTGAAGTGTGCTTAAGTTAGCAAGTGCATTGCTGTAAGACTAGTCTTTTATCTAGTTCTTTTGCAGTCAGCATATTCTGCAAATAGAAATGTTTTCTAGGTTGAATAATACTTCTCACAGCTGTTGTAGAGTTAGCCAACAATAACCATAACTGGGGAATTTGAATAAGTAGTGAGTTGATAATGATAAAATAGTGGGGGATTTTAACAATAGCAATGTAAATGCTACTATAGTGCAGCACAGACAATTTTATAGGATTTTAAAATGTTGGAATAATTTATTTCTTTTGATACTTCAACACTGGGAATTTATGTTGTCAACATTTATTCTGAAGCTGCAGAAAGGAGTTTTTTGAAGGAACAGGAGATAACAAGCTGATTCCTGGCAACTCCTTCTTAGGCTGAGCTCTGATTTAAGGTAGTATAATGAGTCAGCAGTGCTAATACTTTGTTCTACTGATACTAGTATGTTGTGTTGTTGGGGTTTTTTTGCTTGTTGCGTTGGGGTTTTTGTTTGTTTGTTTTTTAACAAAGTACAGTAAGGTGGTATGTTCAGAAGTATGAGTAGCTTACTTACATTGTCCAAACCCACCACTAAAGATCAAACAATGTCTGCATTTCTAGAGAAGACAAGTAATTGAAGCTTTTAAAGCAGTTTGTTTATTAGTTTGTTTTTTTCAAAAATTCAAGTACACCTGTAACAGGATAGCCTAGTACTAGGAGATGTAGCTTAAAAGTTCAAATTTTACAAACGTGTATTGCAGTGAGAAGCAGGGGAAGTGCAGTGTGCTGACAGAAGCTTGTGAGTTCTTGGAATGTCAGGATGATTGCTGATGGAGCCAAGGACAGATGACACGAGGGAGGAGGTTGTGTGTGAATTCCTTTCAGCTATTAGAGACATTCTTGCTAAAGTTTGCAGATCTTGAGTCCTGCAGTAACATGTTTACTGATACCTTGTGGAGTCACATTAATAGATGGGTTTTTATAACATGGTTGTGATGGGTTGAATAAAACCAGCAGTGGCTATACCCAGACAATTGTGGGAAATAAAATTAACTGTCCACAAGTATAAGACTACTGAATTAAAAGGCAAACACAGAGCTGCTCAGGAATCAGTCTGCTAAGGATTTTGTTAAATATTTGTTTGGATGACAAGGAAGTATGAACACTGGGGAGAAGAGATTCATTTTGAGGAAGAGAGACATAAGTCAGTCGATTCTGTCAGTCAGAACAGCTTCTTGATTCTGATCCTGGGCAATGTAATATTCTTTTTGATGATTTGTTCCACCTTTGTTGTGGGAGCAGGATTTCTACACAGACAAATACCAGACCTTCCTAACTTTTTTTCCCGTACTAGCTGGAGCAGCTTACAAGATGTCTGACTCTTTGCTAGCTTTTAATTGTATTGATACGAGGCATGTATATTATTTTGTTACATACTTTTTCAGAGGATAGGGTTTACTTCTAATTTTCTACTTTTAGTCCATATTGCCTTTTTTCCCA